ATATACATCCCCATACATATCATACAAGCATATAACATACATACATACACACATACGTACGTAAGTACATACCTACCCACCTACATCCATACTTAAATTATATTTACTTGCGCACATGCATGTGCATGCATGCATGCATAGTTATACACCCACGTACGTAAATGCATGCACTCCTGCACACACACGCTCACACATGCATGCATGCACACATACATACATGCATGAATACATACAGGTTTGAGCTACTAAGAATCCAAAATTGTTTGAAACAGCATGTATACATTAATAACAATATCATCATAATATTATATCACCCTAATGTTGTTGAAATCGCTCAGACTTAAGGATGTAATCCTGAACAGAGAGTACAATTATTGTGTTTTCTTCTAAAGATAACGATTCATCGCCATATTATAATAATTTGACAGTTATTTGATACTGAAGGGTTTCAATGTGTAATTGTCTGATGGCAGTGTATAAGGTACAATCTAGCAGGTAATGATATGTGTTTTCGATGCTACCGCATGCGCAAAGAGGGGATCTAACAATGTTTTTCCTATATAAATGTTCATTAAAAGAGCTTCATGACATGCGTAGTCTAGCATGGTATATTTGTCCTAATCGTGAGCCATATGAGTAGTGTTTTGGTGGAGGTTTTTTGTTGTTGTGTTTAATATGTGATTTAAATTGATAAACTATTGCTGTAAAATATATATATTTAATTTTAATGTACTCTTAAACGGACTCCCCTTCCCTTCAAGATTATTCTCAAGTTTTCTTCTCTTGAACGATCTGTCATGACGAGGATAACTCTATTATTTCATACGCTGAAACAACATTTAGCTTATCTGTTTAAAAAAGGCAGGGGCGAATTATAGCTCCTTGAGTTATAGTTAATTGCATTCTTATTTTACTTAAAAATTATAAGACTGTTTGGTCAGTTTTGGAGTTCTTTCATAATAGCGTGGAAGCCGTGGCAACGTTTTGATGAATGTCTAGGTGTTCTCTTGAAAGATTTTATACCGAACAACCAACATCACGTCGACCTTCATGTAGATGAACAAAAAATAAAATAGTATGACAGACGCAAACAGAACACTATAATACTGGGGCTAAACTTAAATGTGAGTGGCGTAGTTAGGGAGGCTAGGGTACAAATGATTTACACATTACTGCAGGTGATGTGATTATCACATTTGATAGGATATCTGTTTTCTATTTATAATCAAATAAATCAGCTAATACTATCCTGGTTCCAAATTTTGAAGCGATTCAATGACGTTTAATCGGATATTTAATGCCATAATTCTCAGCATATGTACATGTAACAAAACCCAATCTTATAATTCATACTTGAATGTCTGTAATATTTGTGTTTTAGGCAGAAAAAACAGTTTGCAAATGGAGACAGAAGAGAAAATAAAGTCGCTTTCAGCGAAAGATAGCAAGGATAGCAGGTATGTTTCAAATGAGGCTGCAGACGCTGAGCGTTGGATAACGCTAGCCCAAGAAGTGGGAACGTTTGAGAGACCCTCGTCCACTAAAACGGGTTCACTGACCATTGTTGGATCTGGTATCAAAAGCGTCAGTCATTTCACTTTGGAGGCATTGGCAGAGCTGAAGTCGGCGAATGATGTGTTCTTCTGTGTAGCAGATCCGGTCACTGAGAGGTTCATAAAGAGGTTGCGTCCCGACGCACTTGATCTGTATGTGCTGTATGACGACAACAAAAGAAGAATCGTTACATACGTGCAAATGGCGGAGATGGGACTCCATCAGGCTAGAAAAGGTCGCCACGTCTGTATGGTATTTTATGGACATTGTGGTGTGTTTGTCCTTCCCTCACACAGAGCTCTTCATATCGCTCAAAAGGAAGGGATTCCGACGAAGATGTTAGCTGCGGTGTCAACGGAAACTTGTCTGTTTGCTGACCTGGGTATTGATCCGTCAATTCCAGGACTTCAGACACTAGAGGCAACAGACTTTCTCATACGTAATCGGCCAATCAATACCGACTTCCACGTAGTTATCTGGCAAGTAGGGTGCGTGGGGGACATGGGGTTCCGTCGGAAGGGATATCATAATGACCATCTTAACATTCTAATAGAAAAACTCCAAGACATATATGGAAAGGATTATGAAATTTTTCACTATGTTCCAGCTCATTACCCCGTCACCACAACAAAGATTCGGCGTATTGGACTGTGTTACCTCCTCAATCCAGAAGTAATGAAGCAAGTGACTGGGATATCGACATTTTATATTCCACCAAAGACCTCTAGTCAGCTAGATATAGACATGGCGCTAAGGCTAGGCATCATAAGAGAAGATTCGCCGGCCAAATCACTCAGACCAGGGCATCGCGTCATTGATGCATATACAGAAAGGGAAAACAATTACATCAAGAGTCTGGCTGACTGGGAAATACCAACAGAGTATTCATGTGCAGAGGAGACGGAGCTTTCAAACATTCTGACGGACCTCAGTCTTAATCCAGTTTTCTTGAGGCACTGTAAGGAAAAGGGTTACCCCAGGCTGTCCGACAAAGCCGAAGACGACGCCCTCAATTCTGGACATCACGCTCGGATCCGCGGTGTCCTCAAGCCTAACAGAACAGTAAAGCTGGCACAGGCGGAACTATCACACCATTTTTTATCGACAGGGTAAGCATACGGTGTTTTGGAAACCGTATGAGGATACTATTTAATGAACACAATATTTTTTTCAAATGTCCATGTAGGGGAAAGCAGATTACATCATTATATGGAATAGATATAAAACGCATAGGTATCCGGTTTGTATAGACAGCAAATGGGTAGCCTCTGTCGAGTCTCCAAGCAAGGTTTCAATTTATATCACATAATGATTTACTGTTTAAAATTTCTCAAAGTAAATATGTTTGCAATTTCTCAAAATTATGTTCAAATGATTTCTGTTAAATCAGAACACAATTCTTTGTGTGTAATTTCAGGTATTGCAAAGCGATGAAACGGGCTATGCCAAGAAGGTCTTATATTCCGAAACATATCAACCCTATTTTCGTCTTCAATGACAATGACAGTGATTATGAGGACGAGGGCGAGAAAGGGAGCAATGGAACAGTCTTAATCGAAACTGGAATGGTAGAGATGCCAACATCTCCAGACAGTGATCACGAGTTTATAGTTGCAGAAGGCAACTGTGATTGTTAAAGGTGTGCAAACATATTTTACGAAACAGTTTTCAACAAAAAAAAATGCAATATCATACCATCGTGTACAAATGCATGAATTGAAATTACCCTCTCCGAAGTACAATATTGCTGTTTCTGCATTCGAACTAATTTTGAAGCAAAATACGAATATGTAGGCTTGAACTCTGGAATGTTTTAACCAATGAAGTTGATTTAATGACCAGAGTGAACATACTGAAAACACAAAAACAAAACAACCCTGATGGATACAGTAAAAAAAGGAACCGTGTCGCGTAGTCTGGTATCAAACGTTTCACAAATATTTCATTTTAACATTTAACAAGTTTCATATTTCTAAATGCATTGGAGTCATGGTGATCGTTATTCCGACGGTGGCGTTAAACGTTATGCTAGGTAACCAGATACTCTACATTTACCTCATAACAGGAGTTTTTCCTCCAAACATTCTTTCGTTTTCTAAATGATGCGACTAGGTCGGATGTCAGGCTACCAGCGATATCGCACTTCCAATAAGCCCTTTAGTGGTACCTACATATGTTGACTAGCACACTCAAGTGACCTTGGGTATTTATTTACTAGGCTTACATATCAACCTTTCTCAGGTTTGTTTAAAGGTAGTTTAAGGCTGTTACCGATAGACTTTTGGATAATTTTTGCCTTGTTTCTGATTTGTTGTTCGGATGCAGGTTTCTTTTTAAATACTCGTATATATATACCTGAGTATTTAAATCAATAGCTAAACCATATAAAACAAACATGACCTCAAATTCAATACGTTGCATTAAATGTGTTTATTTGTTTAAAACATAATTTACAACACGGTGTATCATCACATGATATCACGATGTGCACACACATAATATATATATACAATAACAGGCAAGACATTGATAAGATGCCATGATAATGATCTGTGCATAATAGTGTATGTTAGTTTATATACATTCAAAGGTAAAATACTAAGATTAAGATCATCATGTTTGGCACATGTGGTTAGAAAATAAAAGTCAGTTCATCATATCTAACAAGAACAAAACGGAAATGATATTTGTAAAGACCCTATCTTTTGCAGTAGATTTTACAAATCCGTGGAAATTGACTGTTCCATTTCGAGCAAAGCATTTGCGGAGCAGAGTAACATTATTTTACTCTCCGTCAAGGGTCGATACGGATCCCAATGTTTCACAAGACTTTCAGTTTGTTTCACATTTAAGTATCCTTATTAAACGAAACATTTAAAACAACAACTTGCAAACTTTACATGACGCCTCATCGTAGTGTAGAACTATTTCATGTACATGTGTTATTACTGTGTAGTATTGCTGCAGTCGTTCCGGTTAAGATAAGACATGAATTTCAATAGTTATTTACTTGTGTTATAGGAATTGACATGACTACGAGGGACATGCATTGTCACCAAATATGTAACTCTCTCATGGGGAATATTTAAGTTTTACTTTACGTAATTCATATAAACTTGTAAGGGATGCTATGCAATTTATTAAAAGATCGATATATACAATTGAATGACTTTCGAACAGATACCATGGCGTGAGGTAGTGCACTTTGTAGAATATGTACGTACAACTGTCTTCTGTACCATCGTAAAAATGAAGAATATCTCTTTTACTCTTGATATTTATGCTCAAAACAATGAAGAGAATTAAGTTTTACAATTTTTGTTTATGATGTCTTTTAAACAAACTTCATAAAGTTTATAAGTTGTTTTTTTGCATTGACAAGTTTTTGTTTTCTATAGTAATTATTCTGTTACAAGACAAACGATAACCGAAAACCATTTTTTTTTAGTCATGGAATGATTGGTCCCGGATAACAAATATGACCCAAACAATTTTATATGGGAAACACAAATCACGTTTAACAGTTTTTAAATTTATTTTTTATCTAAACAATATTTTGAATTAATAGGTTTATTTTGAGAATGGCTATACAAACGAAAAATAATCATAAAATTATGAACATCAATAAATAAAATACAATGACGATGAATTTGTGGTTACCAGCCCCATTTTTGCATAAATCATGAAATGGTTTTGATAACCATGGAGTGGCCTCACTCTTACCGCCTTAACAGTTACAAGAATTTGAACACATACATGTTAACACAAGCATATTTCCAGGTTAAAATACAAAAATATTCTGTGCTTCTTGATCTTGTGATATATGGTCTACCGACGACTTTTCTCCTCTGTTTTTTTTACTCTCCTTTTCAAGACAGTGTCAATCTTTTACGATAGAGTAGGCAAAATTCAACCAAATTGGAGTCATGAAGAACATGTATTTCAATCCTTCAAAGGCGAACTTTTTGTTTTACTTTCAGAACGGTTTCTTTAGTAAGACAATTTAGACCAAACAGTCTCAAAAACTTCCGCTCTTTTAATGGAGTCTATCAGATCATTACAGACTTAAAAGATTACATGTTTATGTCCAGTTAAGAATACAGCAAATTCCAGATTTTCGATTTACAAATAATGTACTGGCATTGCACATTAATTATCCGAAATCTAACAAAAACAGAACCCGTGTGAAAATGATCTTTCTGTTACAAAACTCAAAAGGTCAAAACAAAAACATTTATGAAACATCTGTGTCCATGGCGCAAACAAATTTCACAGACACATAGACTATCCATCAAATTGCATAAGAAAACAATTTATTGCTACATACCTAATACCAACGAAAATTTTTCCAAAACCGTAAGGTATTGATGCTGCGGACATGAATCACACCACATATTGAATATTTAATGAAGATTTATATGAACACAAGTACTTTATAGTTGCTTTTATTAACAAATTTTTAATTTCGTTTATTGGGCAATTTATTAAAAATTCATGAAATTTTAGATCGTGTCTAGAACACCCAGGTTTCACACCTGGTATGCACTAGTATGTGTGCACCCCGGCATAGTAACCAATATCAATCTTGCATGTGGAACTATTTTCAAGGTGTTCTGAAATAGACTGGAACCAAAACTCGCAAAAGTATACACCCCCGATATTTAACAACCATACAGTAGATCTTCCTCTTTTTACATAAATATTTTCTCAACATTCACACATCATTTTCAGATAACTGAAATATCAAGATATCTTAATCCATTCTTTGAATAATTTTACCATTAACTGGGGTAAAGGTTACAAATAACTTGGCTTTAAATAAACTTTTTTTTAGATATCCACCATATAAAAGACTATGACAACAATTTTGTATTGCATCTAGTGACATCATCTTTTATCATAAAAATCAAAATGATACAACTTAAGTTATGTTACCAAATTAATGTTATTATCACAGTAATCAAACATGTGGTCGTCCGATTGAACGAAGAACTTTTGTCTATGGCAGCCATATTACAATAAAATATATATTACATTTGTCAAATACAGAGCAGTCATTTATAAAAACAGACTAAAAATTGTTAACATTTTCACTTAATTAAGGTAACTCAAATTTAAAGACTTTGAACAATTTGACACTCGTTCACCTTTCTTTTGAAGCCTATGCAATAGTTATAGACAAAATCTTATATTAAGAACACAATATTTAGATATAAACAGCATGATGGAATGTAATTAGTATATATGTATAAGGCAAAAAAAAGAGAATAAAATATAAATAAAAAATAAGCATTGCACATCTAGGTTTAAGGTTAAAGACTAGCACATATAGAGCAAGTCCAAAACAATATGTCTATGATTCCTACAGCAATTTTTCAATTTCAAAATAAACAATCGCTTAAATACAGATTGAACTGGATGTTTTATAGCATGACTATTAAAACAACTTCCATAAGTCCATTACATTTATATTTTAAAATATAATACATGTACAGCTGTCCATAATTTTTTGATCATTATGGTATTTTGAGTGTGCATTATCAATACCAGGGTAAGACAATGTTGATGGAACAGCACTCCAACAATCTTAGTCACTTGAGGTTTTGATTCACTGCTATCCACAGCCAACATGTGTTACATTGACAAATCTAAAAATGGCTGCAAAACCAAACCATATGACATCACAGGTGTTTATGGTGCTATGAATGCAACTTCAATATGCTTGGTTTTTTCTAGTAGGCCAGCAATGTAAACATAAATATTAAACATTGTTTTCACATTAATATCTAATACTGATATCTAAAACAGTACACAGATACCTATAACAGTACACATTCAGAACTGAATATATTTCTAAGTGAATAAATTAAAATTCAGTCAACTGATATCAGAATAGGCAAGTTTTAAGCATTAAAACCTTGGATTTCACTTATATTAATGGCAAGTAGCTAAAGCATTGTATTAAAGCGATTTTTTTGATTCAAAATTATCAATATTTAAAGTTAGTTTGTTGCTGCATTCATTGGTGCAACAGTCAGCTTTATAGCTTCACCACACGTACAGTCACATGACAAAAGTCAATACCGTCAACACAGGCATGGGGACCCTGTCATTCCCTGTCAGCACATTACAATTGTATGTTTAACTATGTGCCATAATTCTGACCCACTGAGATTAGCATGATCCCACCATATATCAACCTTGTTTGTCCCAAATCCCCAAAATCACAGGTTCAGTTAAGCTGGTCCCTCTTTCTCCTGCTCGAATACATTAGCAGGGAGATGCACAAATGGAGGACCTCCTTGCCCTGGGTTCAACTGATGGAAAGGACTGTAGGATAATCCTCCCGCTATTATATAAACAGGGAGGAAAGATACCACTGTTCCTCAAACTCCATGGAATATTGTGGCTGTAGTTTATAGAATCTCTTCACCTACTCAGAGGATATAACATAGAAATATCAACCTGAGGAGTGATATTCTTTATCATAACTGTCACATCCAGGCTTGATTCAAGTCAAGAGTTAGACATTCAATAATCTCACAGAGTTAAGTATCTTCAATAAGACTGAACTTTGATATCGCATGGTTGAGATTTCTCCGGCATACACTCAACATGGGGGGGATGATTTTGTTTACGGTATCACAATCTATCAAAAAATATTGCTTATTGGGATTTGCAATCTGTATTTTTATCCTGACTTGATATATTAACCTCTCCTGTCGAAAGCTGATTGTGACGTAATTTTTGCTTTCCTGACAACACGGTATTGTTTCTCTCCACATGCCATCTGTCATACCCAAGGGGGTGATAGAGATATCATATCCCAAGGGTGTAAGAAAAACAGGAGATAATTCATTTAAAGGTGAGAGAAAGAGGCTGTCATGCATCAGCAGAGGTGAAATGTCTCTGCATCCAGACTACACTAATTTGAAGGTGGATATTTCCCAAACCCATCAACATTTAACCCTTACATCCCTATGTAACTTAAGTAGACTCTACCATGCATTGATCTGGATGTGTCCATTCTAGTCTGTAGTGGTGAAAGGGTTAAAATCAACAAGGAGATGAAGTGCCTCCTCTAGCAGCTAGGCCCCACTGACTGACATGGCTGTATGTCGAGTTGGTCCGGTCAGCATTGCCTCTATGGACCACACCCTCATCCAGGTGGGCGTTGGCGCGCTGTCTTACCCTCATCCTCCCGAGACTCTCAATGGTCTCGTCTCGTTCGGCTTGGTCCTCTTCTATCCATCCCTTCAGACACATCAAGTCAATTACATTACACATTCAGCTAATTATAAACACTACATATTTTTTTATGAAAAGTTCTTTTTACACAACCAATAAGATTTCCTATGTGACGTTTCGATGACTAGTACGATATGTACACTGTCACCTTCATCAGACAAATGACCAGTGATGCGTATGCACACAAAGGCGTATAATGTGTATGAGTTGTCCACAAAATCGATGTCAATACGGCTACGCTATAAGCGTATGTACAATAGTTATAGATATATAATATGTTCGTACCGAAATGACACGATTCAGCTACACTAAACAAAGTGTAGCTGAATCCATACTTATTAAATTACCAACATGAAGAAAATGTTTAGAAACGACATGTATTTATTTAAAAGGAATCGCATGACACATGATAACAGAACATTGAGTTAAATTGTACAGCCGACATATATTGTATTTTTTATATTATAACTCATTTGTATCTCTCAAGATAAATAATTCAAATTTATATTTTGTGAGGAGGGTTACGACAAATTCATCTTTTAAGCCTATTCTTTTCACTCACATTTAAATATGGTCATATAGGTATTGATGTCTCATTTTGCAAAATGAAATCCTCGTGAAAAATGACAGTGAAAATAAATATTTCATGTAATTGAATGAGATAAAGCATTATAACAAAGTCATTGATTTAAACAAACTTTACAAATCTATAGTCAAATCTATAATAATTCACCTTCAACATCTTGTTACTTTCTATCCAAATCAAGAGTAATCGAGTAAACTGGTATTGGACAAAAGAGGTAACAGAAATAGTTTATGACATTTTGATTTTCGGACTGAATTACCTTGACTTCGTCGCTGTACATCCGTAGACTGAAGTCATCTTTACTCCGGACTCTCTCTCCACGATACGGGAAAGGAGTCTGTCAACATACAAAGTTTTAACAATAAAATAGCCTTTGTCTTGAAATATTTAGATTCTGTTCTAAGTTCCCACATCATAATATGTGAAATGATATGTTGTACCATGACATTAAAGATCACTGGTAAATCATGGGGAATGGCTGATCCATTTATTGAAATGCTACCCCAAATTTATCCAATAAATACAAATATAATAAGTATTTGACTCGTTTTACCCTTACAATCTATGAAAAATGTGAATATTAAGGTATTAAACTGCAGATAAACCTATTCATATTGACTACAAGGAGGACAGGATCAGTTGGTGTTCACTATCTGATGTGAAAGTGTGGCAGTTAACCTAACTTTATCCTAAGTGTTAATGAACAAGGGGAGGGGTTGGGAGCTAGGTGCACATGTATAACAAAACATTTCCTTCTGCATTATCTGTCACTGAGAAGACCAAAATTTATGAAAATATATTTTTATCCTCTCCATTTCTGTATGATTCCGTCAATGGTGTTTCTCCATGATACCTGTTACCTTATAACATATGTTGAACTAAATATTAACAAAATTGTCTACAGGGACCGATTGAATTGAAGATAACCAAACATCTATTTTCCTGTCTAAACAAACTTCCATATTTCGTTTTCATCACATTTCTGCAAAATATGGATCCAGTGAAATTATTTGTCATATCCATTAATTTATACTGGAGCACTCTTCATACAAGCCATTCGGGTTGATATGTCTCGCCTGCGCTCGCTTTGACCATCAATGCACATATCAGAGAAACCTAGGTTAAACGCAAAAACTTTATGTTGATGGAGATGCTGACAAAGTCAATGGACCATGAAAGGCAGGCCACATCCAGCACTTGATGCATGGGTCGAGATGTACTACATAAGATGCATCTATGGTCCAAGTTTGGTTGGTCTAGCACTTATACTTTCAGTGAAACTAAGTTAAGCGCAAAAAGTTAATGTTGACGCCGCTGTCGCAGCAAAAGCAACACCTTAGTCTCGCTTCCGCTACTTCATCGTGGCGAGACAAAAACCATTGGCAAGATTGATCTTAATTCATCAAAGTATAATAAAATCTATCAGTCGTGGGTTAATATTCTGTAACAAAATCCCAACCGAGGCGTAGGCCGAGGTTGGGATGTTACAGAATCTTAGCCCTTGACTGAGATAACCCGATCTTGCTTGGTTACAGGTAATTTTTTTCTCGCACCTTTTAGGTCGAAAACAACTATTCAATTTTGCTAAAAACTACAAGTATCCCGCCTTGGGCCTCAAATCATAATGACCTCTTCACTACTTAAGCTACATTGGAACGCTCTGCGTAAAAAACATAGTCTGTCCTCACATATATTATAACGTATTTCACATTGTAGATTATATTTTATCTACAACGTCATATATCTAACAACATCAAAACCATACATATAATGACAAAATAGAACATTTATAATGCAAATTGTCGATTTCAAGCAGTTAACGCGCGGATAAATAAATCGCAGTGTAAAAAATCTGCGAAAATGTCACGTAAAGGTAAAAGACAGATCGGACGAGATAGACAAATCTAGCATGGGGTATGACGTGGGATATCTCTGTCTGAGGTGCGAGAATAGAAGTATACTGACCCGTATGTCTTCATACTGGCTCTGGAGGTTGATGTGATGACCGGTGAAGATGAGGCGGCGGTCACTACACATGATATCTTCTTCTTCTGTAAGAGAAACCTCCTCTACATGCTTCAAGTGAGCTGTAATGATAAAGATTTCAGGTTTTACTGTATTATACAGACTGCGATGTACATAGTTAAAGGATTATTATGTTACAATAGTTTTAAACATTTACAAGCTGGCAACAATATAGACCTATAAGTAAACTGATGTCTACGCTTCATAAGGATTGAGACATTTATGACTTTTTTACCAAAAAGAGATTATGCAGGACTGATAAATGGTGTAACAAAGACCTCAGGGTAGTATTTTGCAACTCAATGTAGGGTGTAAACAATTTGTCAAATATATAATATCGTTATACTTCTTGTGTATATGAACGAATCATTTTGTTGGCCTGTATCGAGATACACTAACAATATTGATATTATTAATCAATTTCTCATTAAACTCTAAAACAGAGTAAATATTTTTTGTGAAACCTTCAGTAAAGATGTGGTCCACTGTTCAGTTGTAACCAATTGCAAAAACGCATACAAAACTAAATTTTGACAGAACTTATTAACACTGAAACAAAATGCTGTAAAGCGCTAATCTCAGACAGTAAGAAGTTGACTGTTTAAGCAGAAATGTGTATCGTGATATGAATTGTATCTGAAGCGTTGTACTGTGAAATGATGCGTATCGTGAGGTATATGTATTGTGTCAGCCCTACAACTCACCGTCAATGTCTTCCAGTTTGAGTTTCCTTCTGTACTGGATCCGGAACAGGAAGAGTTCCAAGATGAAGGCCAACACGATGTTCATCACTACCTGTTGACAAAATAAATTTATTTGCTTGAAAATATTATGATTCCCGAGACACTGCATGGACCACATTCCTTAAAGATACAATGAAACCTGTCACGTGACAATCTGTGAGACGCAACACACTGGTCTGGTTAAACCTAGCTCTGATTAACCCAGGAAATACATCCTGTTGAAGTAATTCACATTACCAGGACTGCTCTTGTTCTGAACAATTAACTCCATAAAGCTTACAATGCGCTTGTAGTTGATTTTATATGGCTAAGGTATACTGTCATGTTGCCAAACTTTAACACCAGTGAAATATTTAGTTATTTAAAACTCTAACCAAATACATTATTGGAACACAAACATGATCGAAACATAGACCCGATACATTTACAAATCTATAGTTTTATACCGTACCTTTACAAGCCTACACTTTTAAGTTATATACAAGTTGAACTGCTAAGTGATGAAGATGTCGTTTTTTTGGGATGAACCCTACACAAATGTCCCTTACTTGCCTACCATCACCCAAAGCAAAGGGAGGTAACTCAGTAGTTCCTGTTAATACTTTTCAGTCATCACTACATAGTGAAGGGGGTAGTGAAGGGAGTAACTCAGTAGTGTCCAATATATTAACTACACAGCATCACTACACAGTTAAGGGAGGTAACTCATCAGTGCTCGCTTGCTACTTTATAATTACCATTATCACTTTAACAAGGGGAGTTAACTCAGTAGTGTTCCCTTGGTAGCTCTTGTTATCAGTACATAGTACACAGTACATAATGTAACACAATAGTGTCCCTTTGGTACTAACCTTTATAACTACATAGTAAAGGGAGATAACTCAGTGTTCCCTTGGTAACTCCCATTAAAACTACATGGTAATGTAAGGTACAAATGTAACACAAACAACTTTATAACTACACAGTAAAGGGAAATAACTCAGTAGTGCTGCCTTGGTAACTACCATTAAAACTACATGGTAAAGTAAGGTACAAATTTAACACAAACAACCTTTATAACTACACAGTAAAGGGAGATATCTCAAAAGTGTTCCCTTGGTAACTATCACTATCAATACATAGTAAAATGAGGTACAAATCAAACCCAATAGTGTCCCTTTGGTACTAACTTGTATAACTACATAAAGGGAGATAACTCAGCGTTCCCTTGGTAACTACCATTAAAACTACATGGGAAAGTAAGGTACAAATGTAACACAAACAACCTTTATAACTACACAGTAAAGGGAGATAACTCAGTAGTGCTGCCTTGGTAACTACCATTTAAAACTACATGGTAAAGTAAGGTTCAAATGTAACACCAACAACATTTATAACTACACAGTAAAGGGAGATATCTCAAAAGTGTTCCCTTGGTAACTATCAATATCAATACATAGTAAAATGAAGTACAAATCAAACCCAAAAGTGTCCACTTGGTAACAACCTTTATAACTACACAGTAAAGGGAGATAACTCAGCGTTCCCTTGGTAACTGATTATCACCACATAGTAAAATGAGGTACAAATCAAACTCAATAGTGTCCAATTGGTATACGTACCAACCATTATAACTACACAGTAAAGGGAGATAACTCAGCGTTCCCTTGGTAACCATTATCGTCACTATACAGAGTAAAGTGAGGTACACATGTAACACTTTAGTGTCCACTTGGTACCAACCATTATAACTACAAAGTAAAGGGAGATAACTCAGATCTAGAGTTACCTTGGTAGCCATTATCGTCACTATACAGAGTAAAGTGAGGTACACATGTAACACTATAGTGTCCACTTGGTACCAACCATTATAACTAGCACACTAAAGGGAGATAACTCTGTAGTGTACCTTTGGAACTTACCATCATTACAATGTAAAACAGCATAAAAAAGGTCCTTGATATGTCTCCCACATGGTGGGCATACCCCTCCTGTAACAATCGATGATTTTGAATTTTCATTCTTTAATTTGTCACAACCCAGACTTCATGTCTCATGGGCAGTTTGAATTTTGTAGTTTTGTGCCTATATATTTATGTTAATCTAGCTGTCAAAACATTTTCTATCCAAAAATACATACATGTTGAAATATATTGTTTGGGCAAAATTGCTGTTGAAACATTGAAAATAGTATCCTAATCAGTAAGATAATCAAGACAATTATCATTGAAAAGTCTATGACTTCACACATAACATACCTGGTAGTCTTTGATAATACAATGATTCACGCTATAATACAACAATGTATTATAAGTAACACGATATGACATATGGTGAATTAAAACCATTCTATTTCCTATCTCCCTCCTCCTCCTCCTCTAAGTTCTAAAGCATTTTAAATCAAATATTAAGCAAAAGATATTGATGCTGTAAATTTAAAAGCTTCAGCTACACTTTATAAGTGGTACTGGGTAGTACAATGTTATGCATACTATATTCATCATATATTAAACCAAATTCCAACCAAATATTGATCATTTGAAAGGAAATAACTCTGATATTGTATAGTTATTTGAAGGATAGAATTACTTACCATGATAATAAACCAGTTATTTACAACTGTTAATTCAAATAAAGTGACTGAAATAAAAGAGGAAAAAATTGTCAATAATAAACAAAAAAGCTGTGAAATAACTGTATCAAATATCAATAGTGATATTTTTTCTTCAAAATTAGTAATTAACACTTTACCTGTAGAAAACAAAAATAGAGATATTTATACCAATTCAACTTATTAACAGACAAGAATAACAAAGCTGTTCTTACCCCCAGAAACTAGAATATTCTCAAAGTTGTTTAGATAATAGTACCCCTCAAAAAACGAGTCGTTGCTGTACTTGTAGAAATCTTCAACACTGGTGTTCCTGAAACAAACACAACAGTATACAGGAAAACAATTCTCAATGAACCTTTTAATGTTACAGTTAGCATGTACAGTCCTGGGTTGAAGTGTTGCATATATATTGGTGATGAGTTGAATTGTTACAAACACATTTGTGAAGAGCCATCCTCGATACTCCTGCGGTTACACTCACTTACTCTGTGCACCCTTGGAATACATCATTGCAAAATTGAAGGCACACAACTAGCTTTTTGATTGGTCTCAGGTAAACAAAACTTGACAAATCACTAGGCTGACACCTGTCCTTTAAAGATTACAGAGGATCGAACCCAACTTAAAGGCCAGACAATTTACGGTTATGTGATCGGGATATTCTTTTGATGTACATCAAAGGATCAAAGTTAGTCTTCTCATCTCATCCACAAGGTGGCGTACACTGAACCTTAAATTTTGCTATGACATATTCCAGGGGTGCAGAGAATCTAAGTGAGTGTAACCCCTGGGGTATCGAGGATAGTGAAGAGCTAATTATGGTACATACTTGCAACAGTTTCTTAGATCCACATTAAGGAAGACTTCCATTCCTATGATGCTGAAGAAGTAGTACAACAAAACTATCACACCTGCCAAACTAAAACAAAGTCAGTTCGTATCAACAACATGTCTGTGAAAATAAATTTTATACAATGTTTACATGATTAAACCATTATATCAATACTACTGAGACAGATTGTCTGAAAAAAGAGCTCTCTCTAAATTTGTTTTTTTACCAATTTTTTTTTCACTGCCAAAAGTAGCTTTTAAAATGTCTCAAGGTCTTCACAATACATAAATATGCAGTAGACATACATTGTAAAGGCAACAAGTCCCTTCATTATACACTGCCAGACGGTAGCAGGGCTAGACAATAAGGGTATCAGCCTGATTCAGTCTTTGCGTATTGCAGAGTTATCTTCTCTTGTGAGCATGTATTGATTGTTACGTCATTGGTTTGTATGAGAAAATTACATTTTTTTCTCAAAAATTGATGACGTTACTCTCACAAACAAATGACGTAACAATCAATACCTGCTCACAAGAGAAGATAACTCTGCAATACGGAAAGACGGAATAGTCTGAGACTAGTGAAATGCAGCTGGGCTAGTGGTTCTAAATTTACTAGTCAAAATTTGATATCATTTATCATGTTGAATCATACTTGGTTGGTGGAAATTGTATCTGGACTAGTAAAATGGGAAACTATTAGCCTGACTGACTAGTGCTTTTAACACTAAAAGACTGTTCTGTAATATAGTACAGCTCTATCTTAAACCTACGTGTAGTGGAGGAAAACAAAATCTATGCTGTTAACCAGGATGGTCAGACTTACCTTAATAATCTGTTCAGTAACACAAAGAATGTTCCTAGCACATCTCTGTATCTTTTCTTGATCTTAAAAAGCCTGAAAACAAATCATCAATAAATATAAATAAGGAAATGTCAACCAATGTTTAACTTTTCGGAAATAATTCACAAAGAAGTGGTGTTGTTGAGAAACCTACCTTAGTAGGCGGAATGGACGCAAGACTGTGAAAAAGTAAAAAGTTCCGGAGAAGAATTCGTCCATCACACCGATCACACAGGTAAACGTTACAACAAAGTCAAACCTGTAATATAAGGGATATAACTTACGTGAAACAGGACTTAATGACATCGTATAATTATATCATCGCATTTGGAGATATCAATAAAAAATTGATCATTTTTATTTCAAAACAACAAATTTCAGCAAACAACTTTGAATTCACCATATGTTATTTTTATCCTTTAGATCCAAAAAACGGGAAATTGTCATATGAACAGACCTATTAATTTTACAGTTCAGAAGTTTTTTTTCTATATTTCGCATTTATTGTGTTAAGGAGCTTTATTTGAAATGTAGACAGTGCAACAAGTAGAATATCTATATAATTAAGTTAGAGGCAGAGTCAATAAGTTACATATATATATATACAACTCAATATACAAAGCAAACTGAAATCGAAAAAAATATTGCACTGATCTTGTGATGAATACTATCTAATTAGATCAAGACTTTATTTTATGCCAAACTATAACTACACGCATATGTAATAAACGTGTACATACACATCCCAACCGGTGGTGAAGTACTCTTTTGGACCTTTACCTAGGATCTTCAACATTGCTTCAATGGCATATACTGAAAATTATACAAAATAACATGTGACTTACTGATCATAAAACAAACGTGCCCAATTTCATTAAGGATTCCTGTCCCACGTACTGCATTGTGGGTTTTTCTATACACAGTAACCTCCCCTTAACTTCTGTTTGGATAAAACTTTAGCACAGTTGGACCAGGACACTTCAGTTGATCATGTTGCTCAACTAGTTAGAGCGATAGTATAACAATCTGAAGTCCAGGGTTCAATTCCAGGTCTAGCCCCATCGATTTTTTTTACACTCAAAACACTCCAATTTTATCTATATTATTTCTCATAATAGTCCGCCAACGTATCAATTTCTTTTCAGAAATGATTTATCAAAGCTATAGTATTGCCAGAAAAACACAGTTTCCAATACTTAGCTAGTTTTTGGCAGTTGAAGGGTAAAACAAATATAAAATTAGAAGCAAAAATGATAAGTACATTTTGTCTTAAACTATAGGCTATCTTTCAAAGTAAAAACATCAGAAAATTTATTATGAAATAAAGGGGGTTCCCATCAAATTCAGCCATTATCGATGTTGTCAGGACAATCTGAAACAAATCTAATTAAAATAGCTGATACTTACAGCAAACAAATATGAAAGATGCCCAAGATGCCTCAAACTCGTAATTACGAATATCTACTTTGTTGACTGAAATAAAATAAGAAATGGACATGGTGTCAACACTGCAATATTTTATTTTAAATTAAAAATGATGAATTACTTAAAATTTCAAAAAATAAACCTTTATGTTAACAAAATTCCAATCAGCTAAAAAAATCAGTAACAAATTTGAAGTGGTATCACTCATGCATATATTGAGCAAATCACTAGTCAACATTATTGCTTTCAAATACATCTATAAATCAGCCTGAGGCTACACATAAACATCTACAAAAAGTTCGAAAATAAAAAGGATGATAAAATAAATAAATCAGTAAGTAAAAGAAAGAAGTAAAAATATCTTGTAGAAAATGATCAGGCTCCTGGCCTTCTTCAGTCCTGTTGAGGAAAAATTGTCTTCATTCTGATGTCTATTTTTAATAATTGCATTCAACCCAAATGGACAAGATATAAGGTAAAGAACAATTTCTACAGTTAGATTGAAGAAGTGCAGGAGACTGAAAATTTTCTATAATGAACTAATATTCTGTGGAATGTGATAGAAATTAATTTTTGACATTGAATCTGTGTAATATTTCCTTACGAGATACGGCAGCCCATACATACCTGACCACTGGACGGTCTCGGTGAGAATCCATATAAAGTTGGCTCCTATCACCAAATCTATTGATAAAAAAAATACAAATGTATTTCGTCATTTACAAGAGTGAGATTATCATTTCTGAATATGAAACACATTTCAAATGATAATCCATAACTGACTTTCTGAACTTTTCAGAATATTTATTTTTCACAATTGCATAACCAGCAAAAATATTTCTAAATATAAAAAGTAAACCTTCAAAATTAGCAGCTTTCACCCTTCACAGGGCTCTTCTGGTTTTGAAAGACTAGCTCTCTTCAAAACCGGGAGAGCCCTGTGAAGGGTGAAAACTGCTTTTTTTGAAGTCGGTCGTTATATCTTATTTTTTTCTATACTTATCCACTTCACATGGACATCTAATCTTTTTCATTGTACATAAATATAGGGCCACCATGATATGTGTATGTTCCTACAGACGTTTTGTTACAAATGAATATCTTGTTCAGTTGTACTTACACACAAATCCTTCAAACCACTTCCAGTTGATAAACCAGTTTAATTCTGAGGAGAAAAAGATATGAATTTCAACAAAAATTGAGACACTTTTTATATATAATTACCATTCTTTTATTGTCTTTAAATCCTTACAACATTTATCAATTTTACTGCAGATTAACAAATTCAAAGTAATAGATAAAGATGACCATGACAATGTCATGCTGGGTTTACCTATGTAGAAGTCATTTACTTTCCCGTCTGAAAGTTTCCCAGGGGAAAAAATCAGCTAGCTAATAGTTTTTAGGGATTAAGTTTGCCAATAGTTTCCCCCCTGGTTACTGATACTGAGATGGGGAAGGAATCAGCTAGCCAATAGTTTTCCCCTTAGTTACTAATAGAGAGGGGGAAAGAATCAGCTAGCCAATAGTTTTCCCCTGGTAACTAATACAGAGAGGGGGGATAGAATCAGCTAGTTAATAGTTTCCCCCCTAGTTACTAATAAAGAGATGGAGGAAAGAAATAGCTAACCAATAGTTTCCCCCTAGTTACTAATACAGAGTGGGGGTGGGG